AAAAAAAAAAAGAAATTAGAGAAACAAAAGCTACTACTTAAAAATAATATCTACCTAAATCCTAAACGAAACTTGGATTAATTCGAGTGATATTAAAAACTTCTACGTGAATTAATTAAACGCTTTCTTTTCAATTCCTAAGCGAGCTCGTATCGTCATCTTACACGTGTACGTAATCTTAAGCCTATGAACACATGAAATCACTGCCCAATCGACCAATTTGGACCCATTTTAACAAGGCACTCGAGTCGCTGATATACCAAACACGTTCCGAGGGTGAAACAACACAAGTGGTAAGGGAGGATGGGAGAAGGATCGTTACGATGCGACACGGAAGACGAGGATTGTATTACGTGGAAGAAGATTAGCAACGTTTATTCTAAAGATGCGCACACACTTGTTACTTAATCTTCTTACTGTTACACACGTAACGTTACTTATATATGTATTCAGTGGTAACGAGCTCCGATGCAGGATATCCATATCCAAATCTAAAATCTATTCAGTGATACCCGAGGATTCATAACTCACCACTTCGTTCAAATTCGTTCAAGAAACAGCACGATAAATATTTTCTTTGGAACGGATCGCTTCTTCGAAATTCATCCATGTACTCAGCGTGACACGTTGAGTAACGGTAACGAAACAAGTGTGTTAACAAATATGTACACATTCCAAGAATGCGTAAACATTTATTACTGTTACTCATTACTGTTACGTGGATTACTTATGTGTTTACCGATCAGGACCTGTACCCACGTCTACAACTTATCCAAATATGTTCGAACTCGTTCAAAAGATAGACAGTGCCATTGAATACCTTCTTTTTATAGTGAAATTCATCAACGTTACAACGAAGTAACGAGTCACGATACATAGGACACCATCTACATTTCTTACGATGAAACATTGAGTAATAATAACGAAACAAGATACGCTAACAAATGTGTACGCACCCTAATAATCGGCGAACGATTTGAACGATTTTTCGAAAAGAGAGAATTATTGTCGCTTCTTGCAGGATCTCGTCTCACCGATAATGTTCCTCTTACGTTGGACAAAGAAGAACTTATTTTTTTTTTTTT